ACGACCGACGCTTACAAGATTGAGGGTAGATTAGGTCGACTGTAGAGTAGAAAAAGACGTCTTGTTCTGAACAATCACGTCGTCGTGAGAATCTACCAAACTGTCACACATCGAGGGGGTCCAAGAAACGCTCAGACATTTCACTCTTGTAAGGCAAACGTCACTGATATCTCGTGACTCTCGCGCACAAACTTGCTGACACGTGGACGAAACGGATTAGATGAATAGTAGTCGAGAAGACGTGTCGTCCAATAATAACAGGCGTAAGGTAGTAATTACCAAAGGAGACAGTAGAAAAGCAGGTTTATGTCCTTGACCTAAGGCGTGCTAGGGGAAACTTCTCGACTCACACGAGGCCACATAGAAGAGCCGACCTGACGACAATACCACCCGGTCCGGTCCGGTACGGGACCGACATCGAACTTGTTTCTCGGGATCATCACAACCCACAGCGACACACCACACACACACACAGCACAAACACACACAGCCACACACAACGACACACACACCACCACACAACACCACACACACACACACACACACACCACACCACACACCACACACACCCACACACACACCACACACACCACACACACACACGACACAGCACCACACACACACCCACACACAACACACACACACACAACACACACACACACAGACACACACAACCACAACACACTCTGTCATGTGCACCACAACAAACCCCCGAACGAGGAAAAGAAGGTCGGGACCCGACAAGACCGGTCTTGAGTTGGACTGATTATACGCTACATATCTTATTGTGATCCCGACGGCAGTGAGAACACGTGTTGTAGTTCGGTGATGTATCAAGTGTGTTTAGACACTGAAGTTCACTATTTGGGCGTAGGAACCAGAAGATCCGTACAAAAAATAATAAAGAAATGAGGCTTTTTCACTCTGTGTGAAGGACAACAAACAAAAGCCCGGACGTACAAGACACTAGGACGTAGTAGCATTGTACAAGGCATTGCTGTGTGTGGTAATGTTAATCTGGGTGGAGCGCGGTGTAGGAAAGACGGTGCTCTGTAGGAAAAGCGAAAGTTAGCTTGCAGCTCTCGTGTCACCCGGAGGGAGGTAGGTGTGGGTGTAAAGCTTTTATCGACCAGCTTCAAGTAAACCATTGAATAGACAACAAGCGAAAAGAAGAGGTGTAGAAAGATAGAATATAATAGATAATATCAGTTAGAGAAAAGATATAAAGAGAAAAAGAACAAGAAAAAGAACGCAATAAATATAGAAAGAAACAAATATATATATATATACAACAACATATAAAAAAGAAGATAGAAAAGATAAAGAATAACAGATAACACAACAAATTGAAATAACAACACAAAATATAGTAGGAGTAGACTTCTGGGACCTCGGACATCAAGGGTCACTTATTTATGGAAGATTCGGGTCTGATTCTCCTTCTTACTCGCTACTACAAGGCAGAGGAATTGGTGAGAAACGGACAGTGGTCAATGAAGATGAGAAGTCTTTGTGGGACACCGTAATAATAGGACAGTGTGAGTGTGTGTGGTGTGTGTGGCGTGTGGTGGGGTGTGTGTGTGTGCTGCTGTGTGTTGTGTGGCCACTGGGCTCACAGGGAGCGGGGGGGCGGGGGCAGGAGCTCCAACAAGCCGTTTAGGACAGAGAGTGAATACACATACTTTACAGAGATGCTGTATGAGAAACCAATGTGAGTTTGGAGAATGGCACAATTTAAATCTATTTTAGTATACCTCTACAATGGAATTATGATCAGTAGAAATGGCCATGACATGGGACCTTTAAAAGTCATGTCAAGAGCTGAGAGGAGGTTTGGAAGAAGTATAATACAAGCTCTTTATCAGTACTCTGCAAATGAAACAGTTGTCCAGCAGGCCATTACTCTCCACCTCCCTTCATCTCACTTCCCTTCATCTGAACCACAGGAATGCTTCACGCAGTGGGCGTATAGAATACAACATCTAAGATGTAGTTTTTGACAAAAACACAGAAAGGAAATGAAGTGAAGAAAGAAAGATGAAAGGATATGCAAGGTCTGACATTTCTGTCATTGAGGACAATTCCTTATTCTCCTTAGATCTTGGTGAGGTACAGATAGAAATACTGAGAAATGGGGCTAGCACCAGAGTGTCTAGATGACGATAAGGACGAGGTAAGGACGAGGTAAGGTCCTGTCTAAGCTTTAGGTCATTGTGCCTGCTCTTCCCTGATAGCCTGAGGCAGGATGTAAGCAGGAGCAGCCGCATCACCCACAGGAAAACACTCACTTCCTGTTTGCAGGAAATAGCTTCAGCTTTGAGAGAAATCCCTGTGCACACTATTGTAAATGCTTACTAGTATACTTACCTCATCTTACAACTTCCAAAATAGTTGAAGTATTCAAAAGCGCCAAGATTCTAGACACACACAACTTGAATAACATGTACTTTTCCCTGAAAGGTAGAATTTCAGCACTTAAGTGAACAAATAAATACACTCAACATGTCATTAGGGTGTTCTGCAGAGAGGCTAAAGACTGCAGCAAAACCTGGGTAGATGCATGCATTATAGTTGAAGAGAAAAGTTGGGACTAACATTAAAGGATCAACATTTAGACAAGCAGCACTCCCCGTCACTGGGGCAATTGTATCCATGGTAACTGTAACTCCCTTCATACCGGACCCAAAGGAAAGAGTGAGGCAGCAGTACACTCAAACAAGACATAATTAGAGACACACGCACATGCTCTTTCTGGAGGGCAGGCACTCAACAGCAAACATATGCAAATGCATAAAGCCTCTGATGTAAGCTTTTTACATTCTGTCTTTCAGATTAGCGTGTACTCTCTCTGCCATCCTCTGAAGTGCACATGGAATCACAAACCCAACAAAAAGTCTGCCGTCACCCTCAGCTCTAAAACAAATGAATTCAACAGTAGCTGAACTTCTCAGTTGGAGGGCAGGTAGAGACGTTGATAGGAGGAGAGGCGGCTGCAAGTGTGTGCGGACACATGGCCGTGCAGATCAGGGCAAGTAGCCAATGGGCAGATGACGATGATGATGATGATGATGATGCAGAGCTTCATTCAGCAGTGATGTACTGTTGTGCTGACATGCTCAAATGTGCTTTAGTTAATTAGTCTCAAACAGCAAAACCCCTCCACTAGGACTCTCCTCAACATAACATAGAGGGCACACACCCACACACACACACACACACACACACACACACACACACACCCCTCTGAAATCTATCTGACACAGAGACACTGCTGGAATAGTGAGGGTAGGAATAAAATACAAAACCTATAATCCAGGCTTTTAGATTAAAACGTTAATCTGAGCCATGCTTCCCTCTGAAGTCGACTGCTGCTGTCTCATGAAGCAGACAGAGGGAAAGAGTGACATAGAGAAAAGGAGGGATGAGTGAATGGATGGATGGATGACAGGTTGCAGAGTTGAGAAGAACAGTGTTGTCAGAAATCACATTTCTTACAGCGTGGGTCTTTTACATCGTCTGTTGTAATGCCTTCCAAATGATCTGAAGGTAAATCACTAAATGGTTTTATCAAAAACCTTTGATTGCAGTAAAATCTGCCACTTCTATGTTCTTGTGCAAATCAACAACGGTTACCTCTGTGCTGTTTCAAACTGGTGCAAGAATTCCAAACCCAGTCCCACACCACTTATCTCTGAGGTATATATATAACTCTGAAGTCTTGAGACCAGCTGATGTCAGCACAATGCAAATACTTCGTCCCATTTGAACAAGTTTATTGCGGATGCCATTGACAATGTTTAAAAAAAAAAGACTCCATCAATCAATTCGTTTACATGTTGAGGAATTAAAGTGAGATATAGGCGTACAGATTTTAAATTAGAACATTTAAATTCAGGAAGAAAATGTCCATCTGGCTCTTTTTGGTTGTTCATTCATTATCTCTGTGTGTAATGCTCAGTGTTTATAACCCCCCCAGAGATGTGGAACATATAGCTCTGCTCTGTTGAGTTACATTTTTAACAGGGTTGACCCAGGAGTCTGCATATTTAATTTGAGACAACTACATATTAGGGAGCACCCTCAACATTAACAGAAATCATGTTTTCGCAACGTCTTTCAGTTTTTAGAAAAGCGCTATATAAGTGTCATGTATCATTATTATTATTATTATGTGAAAATCATAGAGGTAACGAACTTCCACTTTTTAAAATGAGCTTGGTTGGAGCCTCTGGGTCAGGTGCAGGCTCTGGTTATTTCTCACTGGCCACATGTGCAGCGGGCTGTTCTCTGCTGTGCACTGAAGCAAACAAGCAGCTAGCAAGGCTAGGCTAGCAAGGCTAGGCTAGCAAGGCTAGGCTAGCAAGGCTAGCAAGGCTAGGCTAGCAAGGCTAGGCTAGCAAGGCTAGCAAGGCTAGGCTAGCAAGGCTAGGCTAGCAAGGCTAGGCTAGCATGACTAGGCTAGCATGACTAGGCTAGCATCTCATGTGCAGCTCAGCCAGCAGCAAAGTCATCCGAGCTCAACCACACTAATTGTTCCCTGCCTAGAGGCGGCCAGTGTTGAGGTCACAGGATGGTAACTTCTGGTGGGAATCTGACTTTCAACTTTTCCACATTCCTTTCCGTTGGTTAAGTTCAACATTTGGACATTTCCAAAGGCCACTGTCATCAGCTTTCTTTATCATATCCTACTTTTACCTCCTCACTAATAGCAGTGATTATACTGGGTGTACTACGGAATGCTAAAAAGTAGGGTAATACGCTGTTGTTTTCATATTTTTATCTGGGGGACTATATTTATATATACAAAACATTCAGCACACACACACACACACACACACACACACACACACACACACACACACACACACACACACACACACACACACACACACACACACACACACACACACACACACACACACACACACACACACACACACACACACAACTTGAAAAGGCAAACAATAGCTGTTTTGTTTGATAGATGGAGTTTAGCGTACCCTGAGGATCTGGTCTCCCTCCTCCAGCCCCTCCTTGGCTGCAGGACTGTCCTCCAGAACACCTGCAACAAAGATTCCCACGTCGTTTCCTCCTGCTAACCGCAGACCAACACTCTCTCCCTTCTTGAACTTCACCAGTTTCATACTCGGCCTGCAGGACAACACATCGAATTAAAAAGGTTAGCACACCCTGGATTAAATCAACAATAGATCAGCTTTGAAGTCAAATCTAAAGTGAGAGCATCTGGGACATTGACCTGAGGATGCTCTCATCATGAGCGGCGCTGGGCACGGGGGCGTCAGAGGGGCTGACAGGCAGGTCCACGTCAGGCTGCCCAGGCTGTGCATAAACTGGCTTTGGTTCTGAAACATAAATACAAACATAATTATTATTTAGTCCTGCACTCTTCGCGGAACAGCATTGGTTTTAACACACTTGTAAAGTAACAATTGCTATCCAAGTGCTGGGTTATAGTAAAAGCCATTGCAAAAGTGAAAGAATAAAGCTCAATCTGTAAACAATTTCCAAAACAGTATTTGTGGCGTAGACCTGTGTTGCACAATGATAATAAATACAAGTAGAACCCAATGAAGGGTACAAATATAGAAAGGTGGTGAAAGCTGAGACAACCAAGAGAAACAACACTAATCCTTCAAACTGAGGGCTGGGGGGGGGCAGGGGTTTCTGTACCCGGCAGTGGAGGTAACAGTTTGTCATCTCTGGAGCTGGCCTGGTCGCTGGCCTGAGACAAGACGCCATCATCACTTTTGACGAGTGTGGACATGGACCCTGGTTTGGAGATGCGATCCTCATCTCGACTCCGATGGCTGAAAAAGTCAAAAATAACAATTATAAATTCAGTTCTATAGGATTGTCAATGCTGTAAAAAAGAAAATGGTTTCCATTAAGGAGTTCCTCAAATGCCTGCAACATCTTTGCTGTGTGATGAAGTGTGTGTAAGAATGTTGTTGTGTTCATATCGTTTGTTCCTGTGCTGACATCACCAGGGAAATGCAGACACAACGCTAAAAGGAAATAACATGACGTGAAGGAGCATGCGGACCAGATTTTGAATGTGAAGACAATGAGCTATTAAAAGAAGGATGTGCCTTGATGTGTGTTTAATGTTGTAATCTATGCTGTATGTCAATGGCAAAGCACATTCACAACCAGGAACTGAGATGGAGCAGACAGGGTTTTAATATCTAAGAGAACATCTTTTGGAAGATTGATTTCCATTCCAATAAAAGCAAACAGCCCGAGAAAGAAAAATCAAACCCAGTCTTCCAACATAAACTCTTGAGTAAGGATACTTTTTATGTCCAAGTTCCTGTTTAACCTGGATCAAATAAACAAGGGGAAACTGGGTGCATGTGTGTGTGCGTGTGAGAGAGTGAGAGAGAGAGAGTCTTGCAGGCTAAGTCTATCGGAGAAGAAAGGGCTCTGCTGCTTAAAACAATGGTTGAATTCCATTCTGGTCACATGACTGCCTGCTGGCACAGTACTTGAGCTGCATTTAGGAGCTTTTGTGGAAGAATGTTAAGGTGCAGGCTGTGCCACCGCCTCAGACTGAGCAACTTCTCCCATTCTCCCACTTCTGCTCATACAGTGTGAAAATATACAGTGTAGGAAAGTTCACAGTACACCGAAGTCCCCTATAGTGAATCAGTAAAAGTCAAAAACAGCACATGTATATATTTTTACACACAAAGGTTTAAATCTGCAGCTGCTGAACTTTATCACTATTTTCTCAACACAGCATGGACTTTTCTAGGTCCAAAACTTCTCTCACTAACAATCACTTTTACACATCAAAATGATCCGTGCAATTAAATGTCAGCAGACTCGGCATCAGAGAGTTCTCTATGGAAGTTTTTGTGGAGAGAAAAGGGCAAATGAGAGATATGACAGAATTGTAATCGCAGAGATAGAGAGAATCACAGAGTGTGTTTTTGTAAAGGATGAATGAGAAAGAGAGTGTGAGAGGGGGAAAAGAGAGGGACAACAGAGCAAGGGACAGAAAGAGGGAGAGGAGTGTGTTGTGGCCTCAATCTGTTGTTCTTTGCTGCAGAATGACGCTAAATAAGGGTTCACAGTGACAAGCGCCATTTGACAGAAGCCTTTGTTCAATCCCCTCCTTTACACATTCTCAAAGTGTGGGTACAGGCAAGAGCAAGCAAGGAAGAGAGGGACAAAACAAGTGAAGGAGGCATGGACATCAACACACTATGGAAAGCAGAGTCCGGCCACACCAGAATCTCAACACTGCATAACGGTCGCAGACTCTTTATCAATCAACAAACTCCAAAATGTTTAAAAGAACAAAATGGACGAGATAAACTGAAACTCTTTGCAAAACAGACAAAATGTGCAATATCCTAGTGTTGAAAACTAACATTACAACAACATCACATATCAATAATAAGACAAAAAACGTATTATAAAGCATATATACTCACATATACTTGTCTGTCAGTTGAACCATGGCGCTAAATAAGTGAGTTAAATTCCCTGAAAGACAGATCCTATGTGCAATGCTCACTGAGAGACACTGTGAGAGAAGGGCGTTTTTGATCATATATTGTATTCAAAAACATTCTACAGCGTCGGGAGAATAATGCCTCTAAGCCCTACAGCCAATCAGGTTGAGCGAACCATCTGGCTTGGGGCAAAGCACTGTGGGAAGTATGTCAAATTCCCCTCCTAAACTGGTAGATAATGAAAACATCCCCGACATTACAGCGATGTGAGTGTCAGACTGGTATTCCCTCAGTAACTTCTTCAACCACAAACACATGAGAAGCAGGTGTAACTCCTCCTCCTGAAGAACTCACGTGCTCACCAGATAAACCAGTCAAACTAAATGTGCCGTAGTGTACACAAATAAAAGGACGTAATATTTGCTTTGACTGCTTCTGAACAAACAGGAGATGTGGTGCACAAATATAAAAGAGGGTTCAGGGAAAGAGCAAGAGCAAGAGAAGTATCACATAAATACTCAGAACAAACACACACTGGCCTAGTATCAGAGCGATGCATTCACTTACATTGGAAGGAATCTGTTCAACAGTGAACCTGCCCTGAACCTGCATTAAAACAAGCAAGGTTACACACTGACACAATGTGATATCTAAGGAAAAGGCACTGGAGGTTAATCTAGCGGTATGTTATGACTGACAAGCAACTAGTAAGCTAGAAAAGTAAACTAGCAGCAGAGTAGTTCAAAACATCACGCAGCTTTGACAGCTATATGGGTTCTAGTACTATATGTAAATAGGTTACAGGTTTTCAGCTAGACGTTACTTTTGTATACTCGCAGTGTTTCCCATACATTGATTCATTTGTGGCGCCACAATTGAATAAGGAGCGGTGCATTCTGTGGGAAACACTGACTATATGTAAATAGGTCTACAGGTTTTCAGCTAGACGTTACTTTTGTATACTCGTTCTAATGAGGCACTTTGGCTTTCAGGAAGAGAATGTGTTACTAACAGCAGGTTTGGCCCCCGTATCTCACTTGGTCAGACCTCGGTCACATCAACATCACAGACTTAAAGCCACTATTTGATAAGCAATGGGTTTGAAAAGTGAAATAGCACTCGTTAGAAACATTTTTATCAAAAGCACATTGTTTTGGAGTATGACAGCCTGCTCTGTCTGCAACTCAAGTCCAATATGAATATCATGAAATGGAGGTCTGGTTTTAGGGGGTATCTGATGATTCAACTCAGGACTAGTGCTTAAAGGCTGCAGGGATTTGAGCCCCTGGTTTAATAGAAACCCCTGCTTCACAGCATCACACAGAGCCATTTACTATGATCAGAAACCAGCAACAGCTTCAGTCTTCTCTCATGGCAGCCATGGGTCTGCTGAAAAAGGTTCCAAGCCTTTGTCCCTCGCCCTGTCCCATGTTTGCCAAGGTTAGTTGCCCTATTAGCATACAATGCTTAAGCTGAGAGAAACTATAGTGACTGGCAGGACTTCCTCTAACACTCCTATGACATCTATGCGCTCGTCTGCTACAAAGAGCTATGACACTACTAAACTACGAGAGAACAAACTTACTGGAAGCTCCAACTGGCAGTAAGAAAAGAGGAGACAAAGAGACATTATGGACATTACAATGATCTAAATCAACAGCACATCATGTGTACAGTATATGCAGGATGTAGCTATGGAAGGGCCTTGCATCTATTGTACTTGCATTACAAAATGAAGATTCATTGTAACAATGTCAAGGTCCTTTGTATTAGTAATTACAACAGGAGTACATTTAGTTTAATATGAAATAAAACTAGCGTTGCACGATTTAAGACAACCACAACAGTTTGAAGGTTGTTTCCTGTACAGAAAATAGTCAAAAGTACCTAGATAACTTACAACAAATAAGACCTCAGTCCACCAGGAGGCGGATAGTTATCCCTCCTCTATTGGAACTCAGTGATCTGGAGGGAGTGTGATGGTTTATGCATGCAATGTCTTTATCTATTGATGTATGCATTAGTGGTGAAAGGTACTTACTCAGCACCCACTAACCCGTAGGTGCTATAATTATGTATGAGGTTGGGGTTGTGGGGTTCTGGATGTATGACTGTGGCATGTGTGACAGCTGTGTCCTGTCACCTGATTTGCAGTCAGGTGTGTGTGTGTGTGTGTGTGTGTGTGTGTGTGTGTGTGTGTGTGTGTGTGTGTGTGTGTGTGTGTGTGTGTGTGTGTGTGTGTGTGCTACCCTTACCTGCCATTGCTGATCTGCCGAGGTGAGTGACGGGGAAGGTCTGATGGCTCGGCCCGGTCAGGCGAGCGTGATCGACCTCGTCCGTGCGATCGATTGGAATGCTCTGATGTCAGCGAATGTATTTCTGAAATATCTATGAAATTAACATGACATTTGTATTTGCATTTAATCAATGACACAACTCCAGATATAGAGTTATAATGACAGGAAAACACATTATTTAACTTATTTTAAAATGCACACAGGCATTGCATTGCTACAGATGTGTCTTTCGTTAAAAAAATACAATAAGATGCATCCAACAAGTCTCACCGTCTCTGTCCGAATTATTGGCTGATGGGATGCTATCATCAAGGTCGGGAATGTTGAGCAGCGTGGCTCGATCATCTCTCTGCACCACCATCTTCAACTTGCCCTTTGACCTCTCGATCAGCTTCTTGGCATCTATTAGTGAAAGGTTCTCTGTAACTGTTCCATTGATCTACAGGAGGAAGAGGAGAGGGTTGACATGAGAACTCAAAGTCCTCGTAACTGCACAATCTTTCTGTAGAGCCCCCGATGTGATCGATGTGTGAGCGATGTGTGTACAAGGCAAAGAGGAATTGTTAATAGTTCTCTGTCATAATGACAACAATGATGTCTAGGTAGATTACAATTAATTTAGTGCCGTCAGAGACACACATAGTCCACAGAAATGTTATCAAGTATATTGTGTAAAGCAAAACTTCATTATCTTTATTCAGACATTTTCTTTCTCTTGTTCTTTGTCACATACACAAATGGCTCTGCCTTTCTTCAGAATAATTGCTAAAGTACATTTAATTTTGAATGCATCTCTGTGCCATTGAGGAGGTTTTTTTTTGCTCCTCACAAATTGATTGGATAGAAATTCAAAGGAATGAAAGAATGTTTGGTATTCCTGCTGGAGAGCCTGCATACTAATGAACTGTGACCCTGCTCTGCGACCCACTTTCAGCCGCTCGCAGAATACCGCAGCAGACTAGTGAACGTTTTTAGTAAAAACCTGATTCTTCTCTCTCACCCCAGCCCACTCCTTTTATTAAGGACAACGTTTGAGGTATTTCTTTACACATTCATGTGTTATGTAATCTTCTAATAATATTTGTTTTACTACATTTCTCCATTACTGCGTTTTTTAAAACCAATGGCCCATTCATGCAAACATTCCTCTCAATATCTCACCTTAAGTACAACGTCTCCCTCCTGGATGTTTCCGTCTCTGGCAGCGAGGCTCTCAGGAGAGATGTCCTTCACAAAGATGTGGCTCGCCAACCGCAGTCCGTATTCTACTTTCAGAGCAAATGTGCATAAAGTCATATTAACAGGGCGTATAAAAGTACTGATCACAAGGTTCTCTGCTAATACAATTAACATTTACGTTGACAAGCAAGAATAAAGATAGATATTTACTGTGAGAAGGACAATATGGGAAATTATTTTGTTACAGAAGAAGCATCAGTGTGTTCCGACATAAAATAAAAAATACTTAAAAAGTGGAACAGAGAATTAAAATTAAAAAGGAAAAATATGATATCAAATATTAACAATAAAAAAAAAATATCTGGACAATTAAAATGTTCTTAAAAAGTCAAATACTGCAGTTAGTAACAGGAATATATACTTACACTACAGGAGCATAGGCATACTTGTATATACATAGGAAAGTATAATGTACAATGTACAGCAGAGTTCCTGCTGGTCAAAATGACCGTTAAAGTTGAAATCTTCCGGACAAAATGAGAAAAGTGCCGGTCAAAGGTCTTCTTTGTTATTTATTGAGCTTTAAAACAAATTGATATGATTCGATATTAAACAAACTAATTATAGTAGATTAACTACATTATTCAAAAGTCAACAGTAATTTACAATAACACGGGAATAATAAACGGAGCGCTCTCTCCCTCTCCTGACAGCCCGTCAGTATCATGCAGCTCGCGGATCAGTAATGAGTAACCTGACAGCAAAACTAAACATATCTATTACTAGATTAGGTAGTTTGAGAGGTAATTAAAATAGCTACGTGTGATATTCTAACCTGAAGTGTGTGTTTTGTCCGCTCACCGCTGCATGTGATCATGCAGAGCTGCGTGTCGACTCGTCAGCAGCAGCTGATTTCTCTCTCCCGTCAGATTAGACTCGCGTTTATGTCCATATCGATCAGATCCAGCTAGTTTTAGTTAATGATATGACTACCTGCTTATTAAAAGACACCTAAACAATAAGCGTCGCTATGCAACCGGGTGAGTATAGAAGTATAGCGCAGCATTATGCATTTGTTTACATGCCCACCGGAACCCAGAGGCATTACCAACAGATCAACGCACAATCAACCCATACAGGACATCTCTTTCTCCATATTAAGTGTTAGATATTAGAATTGATTATTCTTGTCTGGAGCCAGTTGAGGTGGTTCGGGAATCTAGTGAAGGATGCCACCTGGGCGCCTCCCTAGGGAGGTGTTCCAGGCACGTCCAGCTGGGAAGAGACCAAGGGGTAGACCTAGGACCAGGTGGAGGGATTATATCTCTTCGCTGGCCTGGGAGCGACTTGGGATCCCCCAGTCAGAGCTGGTTGATGTGGACAGGGAAAGGAAAGTTTGGGGCTCTCTGCTGGAACTGCTACCCCCGCAACACGACCACGGATAAGCGGGAGAAGATGGATGGATGGATGGACATACTCTTTTGTCTGTCACATACTCTTCCTGTTTGTCACATAAGTGGCACAACTGATGCGGTATTGCGCTAAGGGGAAATTATTTTGACCGGACATATTGACCAGAGAGATTTAGATTTGCCGGTCTTCAGCATATTTTACCGGTCATAGTACGGTAATTACCGGCTAACGGGAACTCTGGTGTACAGATATACAGAGAATTGCCGATTACCATTATAGCTGAGGGAACTCTTCATGTGTTGGACATTGTGTTGCTCACCTTCATTCTTACGGGACTTGACCAGTGTGACCTTGGAAGGCCTGGTTGGTGCAGAGGAGGTTTGTGATCGGCGATCGGAGCGCGGTGAGGCGCTCCTCTCCCGCGAGGCGCTCCTCTCCCGCGAGGCACTTTGATCCCGCCTGCCGCTGCTGCTCCGCTCACGATCCGGACGCCTGCCGGTGCCCGTGCCTCCGCTCGCTCCTCCGTAGGCACTTTGGCTGCCATGTCCACTGTGGTGCTCATAGCCATCTTCCTCATCGCTGTCCTCCTCTTCATGCTCCGACATCGTCTCCCTGTCCCCTGGCCGAGAAACAGGTAACTGCACTTTCCTCTTCCGCCGAATGGTCTTTGAATAGATAGGAATTGTTTTTGTGTTAAAGAGGCAATTGTTATTGTCTCCATCACATCTGAAGTCAACGCGATTAGAGGATCATTAAAGTTGCACATTCAGATTTACACAGTGTCACACAAAATCTATCACTACAATCAAACTTACTATCTTTGCATTTTTCCCGCTCTTTCGGAGCTGCTGTACTGCGTAGGCATGCTCCACGTTGTCCATAGAGACAGCATTGACCATCACCACTCGATCATTCTCTCTGAAACAATAAAAACAGCTTAGTTAATAAACAATGTCCAAATAGCTGTAGAGATCGATGTTAATCCAACCTCATAACAGGGTGGTACTCATTTATATAGAATACATCTGAAATATTTAATAGGAGCTTACCAATGTCAAATTAACATTCCAGCTACAACCCAAAACATATAGTTTATAATTGTCAAACTTACTGTAGCAGTCCCTCAGCAGGACCTCCTTTCAGCACATCAGATATCACAATGGAGGTCTCTCCACTCTGGAAATGAGGGTTGTCTCGCCCACCTGAGATGGCAATACCAAACCCAAACCCTGGGGCCTACACACACACAAACACACAGAAAAGCATACACACTCACTGATACAGCATTATTGGCAGATACTTTGGCCCTATTCCAGTCGTTGCTGTAAGTAGAAACGGGCTAGTGGGCTCTCTGTAGGATCATTACCAGTGAAACCAGTGTTTGAGTAAAATAATGAAATGGGGTTTAAAACACTGGCTGTGTATGTACTGAAGAAAACAACAGAGCTCTGCATATGCATACGTTAGTTTTCCAAGACGTATCCATGGAGGTTTTGAGGGCTGTGCGCAAACACCAGCACCAAGGGAGCGAGCCAAGTGATGTTAATGGCTGATCTTACAACCACAACAGCACAGGAGAACCACAGGCCGCACCGGGCTGCTCCTTCAAGCCAAATAAAGCCGTACTAATTAGATTACAGCAAGCAGGCCAGTCTAGACAAGTGCTCTATACAATCCCACTGTACTAAAGCTAACTAGGGATGGGAACGATTAATCGAATATTCGAAATTATTCAGGTATTCAAATAATTATTCATGTATTCGAATATGAGTTATGAATATATATATATATTTTTTTTTTTTGGGAGTGATGCCTAAGTTGATTTCATATTATCAAATTGAATAATTCAATGTATATACATACGACAGTGCCATAGCTAAATTTGTTAGTTGACGTCTAAAGGTGTGTTTTGCTCCGCTCACCGGTCCCTCACAGCGGGCAGAGCTGCAGGTGCTGATCTCTTCTCTCTCTCTCGCGTCCGGTTATACTTCACTCGTGTTTATGTCCAAATCCATCAGATCTAGCTAGTTCTAGCTAATGATATGGCTGCTGCCCCTCCCTACACGCAGATCACGCAGACTCAAACCTCATCTTAGGCCCAAATGTGGCGCAAATGCGCTCCGCAGCCGTTGCGAGGTTCCGGCGCTAACAGTTCATGAGCGCGCTCCCCCGCCCCCTGTCAACACTCGCGACACATGAGTGGCCAGCCTAAACAACAATAAGCGCTGCTTGGCAACCGTGTGTGGCGGCAAAGTACAAAGACATTTAGACAGGAGAGATTTAGTTTTGCCGGTATTCAACATATTTTACCAGTCATAGTCTGGTAATTATTTACACTCTAAGAAGAGTCCTACACAATAGACATGGCGTCAAAAAGGAGTAATGTGTGGAAATATTTCGACCAGGTTAGTGAGTGCGGTGTAGAGGTCAAACTATGCCAAATTAAACTTATATATATACCGCAATTTCCGGACTATAAGGCG